CCGCTGCCTTTCCTGGTCTCAGACTCCGGATCGCCTTTAGTACTTCCTCAACAGATGGCACCTCAGCCAGCCACTCACAGGGGGTGACTTCTTCCAATATTTGAGGCACCGCAGCCTCAGCAGGGTCATCCTCACTTTGTGCCACGATGTTTTCCTGGCTGAGGGATTTTCCCTCTCCCAGGACCTCACAGAAATGCTCAGCAAATCTGCAAACCTGTTCCTGGGGGTCGGAGATTGGATCAAATGTTTCTTCCCCTAATGATGGTAATAGGTGTGGCGCTGCAGGTTACTTTTTGATGGAGTTAAATAGAGATAAGTGATTGCGGCCCACTGAGCCAGACTCCATCTCATCAGCAACCCGCGACCACCACCCATCTCTGCAGCGCCTCACGGCTTTCCAAACCTCCTAGCGAAGGCTGCGGTAAGCCTCCTCATTCTCTGACGTGGGATTCTGTAGCCGATGACAGTGGGCCTGTTGCTTTTTCTTAACTATCCTGAACACCTACTCTGTCAGCCAGGGTCTCTGGGGAGGTCTGGACCGCGTACCCAAAGCAGCCATTGCAGCTGCATGAGTCACAGTCCTAAACCTCGCCCATTTACCCTCGACATCCGGAGGAGTGGAGGACGATGCCAACCCCAGCCGCAGACGATGATGGAATTCTCGCTTGCAACTTTCATCAGATAACTGAGACCAAGCCACTTTAGGTTGGAATGGGGTCCTGGGTGTACACCCACCACCGGAGCGGAAGAATAGCAGGCGCATCTTACAGATGACAAGTCGATGGTCAGAGGGCAGATCAGCTCTACGGTAGGTCCTGGTATCTTGGACATGGGCTCGCATCCGCTGGTCCGTCACTATGTAGTCCAGCAGATGTTCTTGCTTGGACCCGGCATGCATCCATGATGTTGTGTGGATGCGCCGATGCCGGAACAGCGTGTTGGTAATTACAAGCCCATGGACCGTACAAAAATCTGGCAGCCTCCTACCGTTGTTATTGAGCTGATCTGGCCCATGCCCTCCAATCACTCCAGACCAGGTGCCAGCATCATGACCAACTCGGGCATTGAAGCCACCCAACATGATGACTTTATCCCGAGGGGCCACTTTAGCCAGCACCTGTGACAGGAGGTCATAGAGGGCATCTGACTCATCGGATTTGCTTGCATCCCTCCACGGATGTTCATCTTCGGTGGGGGCATAAGTAACCACGACCACCACTCCTCGCCTCCGGTTGATGGGAAGGTGAGCCCAAAGTCGCCTGTGGCTTACAGCTTCCCACACCTCACGGCAACGCTCCCACGCCCCCTTCATTCTTTTGTTCATAAGAAGAGCCACACCCTGTTGTTTGACAATCTGCTGCCCCGAGTAGAGGACTGTCCACCCCTCATGGTGGCAGGAGCCAGAACCGGTCCACCGGACCTCCTGAATGCCACAGAGATCCAAGCGGTACATTTCCAGCTCCTGACAGAGGAGTGGCAGCCTCTCCTCCGCAGTGAGCGTTCGAACATTCCACGTGGCCACATGTAGTGGCTTTTCGTTGTTTCTGGAGGAGCCCCGAGGGTAGTGATTCAATCTCCTGGCTCCGTCAATTGGGGTTTGGCCACGAGACGTCATAGACGCCTGGCCCCCCGGGGCCTCCGGCACAAGCTTATTAGTTACATATTTCATACGTGGTTTGGTGGTAAATTTTTGAAGGTGGAGGGGTTACCAGCCCCTCGCACCCGTCCAGAGCCACCGTTTAGCCACTGTGGTGGTCATAGACGCTATGAGGGGAGGAGCCAATCAGAATTAGACCTCACCCCACAGCACTGTCCACGACAGAGTTGCCCGTCCGAAAGAGCTAAGAATAGGAAGGAGGTTATTTTGCCGGACACACCTACACCCACACCTACACACACACCTACACACACATCCCCCCATCACCCCCCCCCCATCCCCCCCCCATCCCCCCCATCCCCCCCTCCCCTCATCCTCCCCTCATCCTCCCCATCCGCCCTCCCCCCCATCTCCCCCCTCCCCCCTCCTCACCTCAACAATCAATTAGCCTGTGAGTGAGCGAGCCGGTTTATACACACACAAACCTACACACACCTATAGAGACACCTACACACACCTACACACACACCTACACACACACACCTACACACCTACACATACCCACACACACACACCTACACACACACCTACACACACACACCTACACACACACACCTACACCCACACACCTACACACACCTACATACACACCAACACACACCTACATACACACCAATACACACCTAAACACATACACACCTACACACGCACGTACACACACACACCTACACACGCACGTACACACACACACCTACACACACACCTACACACAAACACACCTACACACTTACACATACCCACACATACACACCTACGCACACACCTACACACACACACACCTACACACACCTACACACACACCTACACACACACCTACCCACAAACACCTACTCGCCCACACACACACCAACACACACACCTACACACACACACAAACACACCTACCCACACCTACACACACACCTACACACACACATCTACACACACACCTAAACACACACCTACACACACACCTACACACACCTACACTCACACCTAAACACACACCTACCCACACACACACCTACCCACACACATCTACACACACCTACACACACCTACACACACACACACCTACCCACCTACACACACACACACCTACACACGCACCTACACACACACACCTACCCACACACCTACACACAAACACACATACACACCTAAACACACACCTACACACACACATCTACACACATACACCTACACACACACCTACATACACACCTACACACATACACATACACACACACCTACATACACACCTACACACACACACACCTACACACACACCTACATTCACACCTACGCACACCTACACACAAACACACCAACACACACACCTACACACACACATAAACACACCTACCGACACCTACACACACACCTACACACACACACCTACACACACACCTAAACACACGCCTAAACACACACCTACACACACCTACACTCACACCAACACACACACACCTACTCACCCACCTACACACCCACCTACACACACACACACCTACACACACACACCTACACACACACCTACACACACACACCTACCCACCCATATACACTTACACACACACCTACACACACACACACCTACACACGCACCTACACACACACACACACCTACACACAAACACACATACACACCTACACATACCCACACACACACACCTAAACACACACCTACACACACATCTACACACACACACACCTACACACACACCTACATACACACCTACACACACCTACATACACACCTACACACACACCTACATACACACCTACACACACCTACACACAAACACACCAACACACACACCTGCACACACACACACACACAAACACACCTACCGACACCTACACACACACTTACACACACACACCTACACCCACACACCTACATACACACCCACACACCTACACACACAAACACCTACACACACACCTACACACACACACCTACTCACCCACATACACACACCTACACACACACACACACCTACACACCTACACCTACACACACACCTACACACACACACACCTACACACCTACACCCACACACCTACATACACACCCACACACCTACACCTACACACACAAACACCTACACACACACCTACACACACACACCTGCACACACACACACACCTACACACACACACCTACACACACATCTACACACACACACCCACCTACACACACACCCACCTACACACACACCCACACACACACAAACCCACCTCCACACACACCCACATACAGACACACCCACACACCTACACACACACACACCTACACACCTACACACACACACACACCCACCTACACACACACACACCCACACACACCCACCTACACACACACACACACCTACACACACCCACCTACACACACACACCCACACACTTACACACACACCCACCCACACACACACCCACACCTACGCACACACCCACACACCTACACACACCCACCTACACACACCCACCTACACACACAGCCACACACCCACCTACACACACACACCCACACACCTCCACACACACCCACCTACCCACACACCCACACACACCCACACACTTACACGCACACCCACCCACACACACCAACACACCCACCTACACACACACACCCACCTACACCCACACACCTACACACACACACACCTACCTACACACACACACCCACACACCTACACACACAAACCCAAACACCAACACATACACCCACGTACCCACACACCCACCTACACACACACCCACACACACCCACACACACACACACCCACCTACACACACACACCTACACCCACCCACCTACACACCAACACACCCACCTACACCCACACACCTACACCCACCCACCTACACACCAACACACCCACACACACCAACACACCCACCTACACACACACACCCACCTACACCCACACACCTACACCCACCCACCTACACACCAACACACCCACCTACACCCACACACCTACACCCACCCACCTACACACCAACACACCCACCTACACACCAACACACCCACCTACACCCACACACCTACACCCACCCACCTACACACACACACACACTCACCTACACACACACACCCACCTACACCCACACACCTACACCCACCCACCTACACACACACACCCACCTACACACACACACCTACACCCACCCACCTACACCCACCCACCTACACACACACACACACTCACCTACACACACACACCCACCTACACCCACACACCTACACCCACCCACCTACACACACACACCCACCTACACACACACACCTACACCCACCCACCTACACACATACACACACACCCACCTACACACACACACCTACACCCCCCGCCCCTCGCCTGTATTTAAACGCCCACACCGACAGGCAGGCGACTGTCCGCGCTGGCGAACTTCAGCTGGGAGTGACGGTCTCTGTTCTGGACTTCTCAGACATCGGAGGTACTGGTGTGTGTATGTGTATATGTATGTGTGTGTATGTGTGTGTATGTGTGTGTGTGGGGAGCGATAGTGTAGCGGTTAGCGCTACGCTGCGCTATGAACCTGCGACCCGGTTTCGATTCCCGCTCACGGCCAACACCAGTGACGATTATCTGAACCGGTCCCGGGCCTCCCCCTAGGTCGACTCAGCCTCAAATGAGTACCTGGTGCGGTGTAGTAAGCATCGCCACTGGGGAGACAAAGGCGGTCGGGCGTGGTGCTGGCCACCCACCCCCTCGTGTACCGTTACCGGCCTTCAGAGGTGCTCGCTAACAGCACTTGCCCCTACCGTCTGTTACAGGCTATATGGGGGATCTTTGTATGTGTGTGTGCGTTTGTGTGTATGTGTGTCTGTGTGCAGTTCAAGCCGTCGTAGGTACTGATGTGTGTGTCTGTGTGTGAGAGACCCACACAGAGACCCACACAGAGACCCACACAGAGACACACACACAGACACACACACACACAGACACACACAGAGACACACACACACAGAGACACCCACAGAGACCCACACAGAGACACCCACAGAGACACACACACAGAGACCCACACAGAGAGACACACACAGACACACACAGACACACACAGAGACACACACACACACACAGACACACACACAGACACACACAGAGACCCACACAGAGACCCCACAGAGACCCCACAGAGACCCCACAGAGACCCCACAGAGACCCCCCACAGAGACACACACACACAGAGACACACAGAGACACACACAGAGACACACACAGACACACACACACACAGAGACCCACACACACAGAGACCCACACAGAGACACACACACACAGAGACACCCACACAGAGACCCACACAGATACACATAGAGACACACACAGAGATACACACAGAGACACCCACACAGAGACCCACACACAGACACACACACAGAGACACACAGAGACACACACAGAGACACACACAGAGACACACACAGAGACACCCCACAGAGACCCCCCACAGAGACACATAGAGACACACACAGAGACACCCACACAGAGACACCCACACAGAGACCCACACAGAGACCCACACAGAGACCCACACAGAGACACACACAGAGACACACACAGAGACACCCACACAGAGACCCACACAGAGACACACACAGAGACACACACAGAGACACACACAGAGACACACACAGAGACACACACAGAGACACACACAGAGACCCGTCGACTCAGACTATACGTGGGGCATCATTGTCGTTGTGACTAATCCGTGATTGTGATTCTCCAGGTGCTGCTCGTGTTGGTGATGATGGTGATGATGATGATGGTGAAAAGAGTCTTCTTCTTGATGCTCTGCCTGGTGCAGATGCAGGGGGTGATGACGGCAGAAGGTGAGAGAGTGGGTGAATGAGTGAGTGGGTGAATGAATGAGTGAGTGGGTGAGTGAGTGGGTGAGTGAGTGAATGGGTGAGTGAGTGAGTGGGTGAGTGAGTAGGTGAGTGAGTGGGTGAGTGAGTGGGTGGGTGTATGAGTGAGTGAGTGGGTGGGTGAGTGGGTGGGTGGGTGAGTGAGTGGGTGGGTGAATGAGTGAGTGGGTGAGCGGGTGGGTGAGCGGGTGGATGAGCGGGTGGGTGGATGAGCGGGTGGGTGGGTGAGCGGGTGGGTGGGTGAGCGGGTGGGTGGGTGAGCGGATTGGGTGAGTGAGTGGGTGAGTGAGTGGGTGGGTGAGTGGGTGGGTGAGTGGCGGGGTGAGTGGCGGGGTGAGTGGCGGGGTGAGTGGCGGGGTGAGTGGCGGGGTGAGTGGCGGGGTGAGTGGGTGAGTGGCTGGGTGAGTGAGCGGCTGGGTGGGTGAGCGGCTGGGTGAGTGAGTGAGTGGTGGGTGAGTGAGTGAGTGAGCAGGTGGGTGGGTGAGCGGGTGGGTGAGCGGGTGGGCGGGTGAGCGGGTGGGTGAGTGGGTGGGTGAGTGGTGGGTGAGTGGTGGGTGAGTGAGTGGCGGGGTGAGTGGCGGGGTGAGTGGCGGGGTGAGTGGCGGGGTGAGTGGCGGGGTGAGTGGCGGGGTGAGTGGCGGGGTGAGTGAGTGGTTGAGCGGCGGGGTGAGTGAGTGAGTGGCTGAGTGAGTGAGCGAGTGGCTGAGTGAGTGAGTGAGCGAGTGAGTGAGTGAGCGAGTGGCTGAGTGAGTGGCTGAGCGAGCGAGCGAGCGGCTGGGTGAGTGAGTGAGTGAGCGGCTGGGTGAGTGTGAGTGGGTGGGTGAGTGGGTGGGTGAGTGAGTGAGTGGGTGAGTGGGTGGGTGAGTGAGTGAGCGGCTGGGTGAGTGAGTGGGTGAGCGGCTGGGTGAGTGAGCGGCTGGGTGGGTGAGCGGCTAGGTGAGTGAGTGAGGGACTGGGTGAGTGGGTGGGTGAGTGAGTGGGTGGGTGGGTAGGTGAGTGAGTGGGTGAGTGAGGATGTGAGTGGGTGAGTGAGTGGGTGAGTGAGTGGGTGGGTGGGTGGGTGAGTGGGTGAGTGGGTGGGTGGGTGAGTGAGTGGTTGGGTGGGTGAGTGAGTGGGTGAGTGAGTGGGTGGGTGAGTGGGTGAGTGGGTGAGTGAGTGAGTGGGTGAGTGGGTGAATGAGTGAATGGGTGGGTGAGCGGGTGGGTGAGCGGGTGGATGAGCGGGTGGGTGAGTGGGTGAGTGGGTGGGTGAGTGGGTGGGTGAGTGGGTGGGTGAGTGGCGGGATGAGTGGCGGGATGAGTGGCGGGATGAGTGGCGGGATGAGTGGCGGGATGAGTAGGCGGGGTGAGTGGCGGGGTGAGTGGCGGGGTGAGTGGCGGGGTGAGTGGCTGGGTGAGTGAGCGGCTGGGTGGGTGAGCGGCTGGGTGAGTGAGTGAGTGGTGGGTGAGTGAGTGAGTGAGCGGGTGGGTGGGTGAGCGGGTGGGTGAGCGGGTGGGCGGGTGAGCGGGTGGGTGAGTGGGTGGGTGAGTGGTGGGTGGGTGAGTGGTGGGTGAGTGGTGGGTGAGTGAGTGGCGGGGTGAGTGTCGGGGTGAGTGGCGGGGTGAGTGGCGGGGTGAGTGGCGGGGTGAGTGGCGGGGTGAGTGGCGGGGTGAGTGGCGGGGTGAGTGGCGGGGTGAGTGAGTGGTTGAGCGGCGGGGTGAGTGAGTGAGTGGCTGAGTGAGTGAGCGAGTAGCTGAGTGAGTGAGTGAGCGAGTGAGTGAGTGCGTGAGCGAGTGGCTGAGTGAGTGGCTGAGCGAGCGAGCGAGCGGCTGGGTGAGTGAGTGAGTGAGCGGCTGGGTGAGTGTGAGTGGGTGGGTGAGTGAGTGAGTGGGTGAGTGGGTGGGTGAGTGAGTGAGCGGCTGGGTGAGTGGGTGGGTGAGTGGGTGGGTAAGTGAGTGAGTGAGTGGGTGAGTGGGTGGGTGAGTGAGTGAGCGGCTGGGTGAGTGAGCGGCTGGGTGGGTGAGCGGCTGGGTGAGTGAGTGAGCGACTGGGTGAGTGGGTGGGTGAGTGAGTGGGTGGGTAGGTGAGTGAGTGGGTGAGTGAGGATGTGAGTGGGTGAGTGAGTGGGTGAGTGAGTGGGTGGGTGGGTGAGTGAGTGGGTGGGTGGGTGGGTGAGTGGGTGGGTGGGTGAGTGGGTGGGTGGGTGGGTGAGTGAGCGAGTGGTTGGGTGGGTGAGTGAGTGGGTGGGTGAGTGAGTGGGTGAGTGGGTGAGTGGGTGAGTGAGTGAGTGGGTGGGTGAGTGAGTGGGTGGGTGGGTGAGTGGGTGAGTGAGTGGGTGGGTGAGTGAGTGAGTGGGTGGGTGAGTGAGTGAGCGGCTGGGTGAGTGAGTGGGTGAGTGAGTGGGTGAGTGAGTGAGCGGCTGAGTGAGTGAGTGAGCGGCTGAGTGAGTGAGTGAGCGGCTGGGTGAGTGAGTGGGTGAGCGGCTGGGTGAGTGAGTGAGTGAGCGGCTGGGTAAGTGAGTGAGTGGCGGGGTGAGTGAGTGGTTGAGCGGCGGGGTGAGTGAGTGGTTGAGCGGCTGGGTGAGTGAGTGAGTGGCTGAGTGAGTGAGTGACTGAGTGAGTGACTGAGTGGCTGAGCGAGTGAGTGGGCGGCTGAGTGGGCGAGTGATATATAAAAAAAATTGTTGTAAGTTTCTCTGGTGCAACAGCAGTAGCAGCAGTGTCGCAGTAACATGTAGATGCCCTTCGGGGTTGCCGTCTAACCGGCTGTGCGCTCGTTCAGAAGCGTGAGACCCGGGGGGCGGGGGGGGGCCCGAGATCGTCGATGTCACGTTCGGCAGCGCTGTGCCGCTCGGCTTCCTGAGAAAGTTCGTCGCTAACGAAGGGGCGAACTTTCTTACGAGAGAACATTCTCTGTGGCCCGCAGAGACACACACACAGAGACACAGAGACGCAGAGACACAGAGACACACACAGAGACACAGAGACACACACGCAGAGACACACACGCAGAGACACACACGCAGAGACACACACAGAGAGACACACGCAGAGACACACACACAGAGACACACACACAGAGACACACACACAGAGACACACAGAGAAACACACACAGAGACACACACAGAGACCCAGAGACACACACACAGAGACACACACACAGAGACACACACACAGAGACACACACACAGAGACACACACACAGAGACACACACACAGAGACACACACACAGACCCAGAGACACACACAGAGACACACACAGAGACACACGCAGAGACACACGTAGAGACACACGCAGAGACACAGAGACCCAGAGACACACACAGAGACACACACAGAGACACACACAGAGACGCAGAGACACAGAGACACACAGAGACACACACAGAGACACACACGCAGAGAGACACACATACAGACACAGAGAGCCAGAGACACACACAGAGACACACACAGAGACACACACAGACACACACACAGAGACACACACACAGAGACACACACAGAGACACACAGAGACACACACAGAGACACACACACAGAGACACACACACAGAGACACACACACAGAGACCCACACAAAGAGACACACACAGAGACACACACAGAGACCCACACACAGAGACACACACAGAGACACACACACAGAGACACACGCAGAGACACACGCAGAGACACACACAGAGACACACACAGAGACACACACAGAGACACACACAGAGACCCAGAGACCCACACAGAGACCCACACAGAGACACACACAGAGACACACACAGAGACACAGAGACCCACACAGAGACCCACACAGAGACACACACAGAGACACACACAGAGACACACAGAGACACACACAGAGACACAGAGACCCACACAGAGACCCACACAGAGACACACAGAGACACACACAGAGACACACACAGAGACACACACAGAGACCCAGAGACCCACACAGAGACCCACACAGAGACCCACACAGAGACACACACAGAGACACACACAGAGACACCCCGATAGAGACCCCCCCACCACGGAGACCCCCCCACCACAGAGACCCCCCCACCACAGAGACCCCCCCACCACAGAGACCCCCCCACCACAGACCCCCCCCCCCCCACCACAGAGACCCCCCCCACCACGGAGACCCCCCCACCACAGAGACCCCCCCACCACAGAGACCCCCCCACCACAGAGACCCCCCCACCACAGAGACCCCCCCACCACAGAGACCCCCCCACCACAGAGACCCCCCACCACAGAGACCCCCCCCACCACAGAGACCCCCCCACCACGGAGACCCCCCCACCACAGAGACCCCCCCACCACAGAGACCCCCCCACCACAGAGACCCCCCCACCACAGAGACCCCCCCACCACAGAGACCCCCCCACCACAGAGACCCCCCCACCACAGAGACCCCCCCACCACAGAGACCCCCCCACCACAGAGACTCCGAGCTATCATTTGCCGATGTCCAGGTCGCGTACGTAGAGCTGAACATGGCAGCTTCTGTGGTGTGAGCGTCTCTAGCCCAGGGGCACCCCCAGTGGCAGCTGTCCCTGTGTGTGTGTCTCTAGCCTAGGGGCACCCCCAGTGGCAGCTGTCTCTGTGTGTGTCAGTCAGCTGTCAGTAGTAGGGGGTAGCGATGATCACTGCTGTTGCTGTGGGTCTATAGCCTAGGGGCTCCCCCAGTGACAGCTGTCCCTGTGTGTGTCAGTCAGCTGTCCCTGTGTGTGTCAGTTAGCTGTCTCTGTGTGTCAGTCAGCTGTCAGTAGTAGGGGGTAGCGATGGTTGCTGTGTGGGTCTATAGCCTAGGGGCACCCCCAGTGGCAGCTGTCCCGATGATGCTGCTGTTGCTGTGTGGGTCTATAGCCTAGGGGCACCCCCAGTGGCAGCTGTCCCTGTGTGTGTAAGTCAGCTGTCAGTAGTAGGGGGTAGCGATGGTTGCTGCTGTTGCTGTGTGGGTCTATAGCCCAGGGGCACCCCCAGTGACAGCTGTCCCGATGATGCTGCTGTTGCTGTGTGTGTCTATAGTCTAGGGGCACCCCCAGTGACAGCTGTCTCTGTGTGTGTCAGTCAGCTGTCAGCAGAAGGGGTAGCGATGATTGCTGCTGTTGCTGTGTGGGTCTATAGCCTAGGGGCACCCCAGTGGCAGCTGTCCCGATGATGCTGCTGTTGCTGTGTGGGTCTCTAGCCTACGGGCACCCCCAGTGGCAGCTGTCCCTGTGCGTCAGCTGTCAGTAGTAGGGGGTAGCGATGGTTGCTGCTGTTGCTGTTGCTGTGTGGGTCTATAGCCCAGGGGCACCCCCAGTGACAGCTGTCCCGATGATGCTGCTGTTGCTGTGTGTGTCTATAGTCTAGGGGCACCCCCAGTGACAGCTGTCTCTGTGTGTGTCAGTCAGCTGTCAGCAGTAGGGGTAGCGATGATTGCTGCTGTTGCTGTGTGGGTCTATAGCCTAGGGGCACCCCAGTGGCAGCTGTCCCGATGATGCTGCTGTTGCTGTGTGGGTCTCTAGCCTACGGGCACCCCCAGTGGCAGCTGTCCCTGTGCGTCAGCTGTCAGTAGTAGGGGGTAGCGATGGTTGCTGCTGTTGCTGTTGCTGTGTGGGTCTATAGCCCAGGGGCACCCCCAGTGGCAGCTGTCCCGATGCTGCTGCTGTTGTTGCTGCTGCTGCTGCTGTGTGGCTACTCGAGGTCTCACGTCGCTGCTTTTCCCCTCCCGCGCGTGTGAAACAGTGCACTGGTGCTACACCAACTCGTCGTGCGGTGAGTTCCAATGCGGGGGTTGGTGGCCCACTCGGAGATCGCACACGGAGAGACCCACAGACTCGCCACCACCACACAGAGACCCCCAGACTCACCACTACACAGAGACCCACAGACTCAACACACATAGACCTACAGACTCACCACCACACAGACCCACAGACTCAACACACAGAGACCCACAGACTCACCACCACACAGAGACCCAT